GGCCAGCCTGGTGTCAACCTGCTGGGCTCCGGAGATGCTTCTGCCTCAGCCTTCCAAGTAGCTGGAACTAGGGGCGCGCGCTACCATGCCCGGCTAATTGTTTTTTTTTTGTTGTTGTTGTTGTTGTTTTTGAGCAAGTTCTATAGGTAGAGTTTCCAGAAGGGTCCTTCAGTGTGGCATCACAGTGACTTTGCTGCCACTCAGTGAGATACACACATCCTTTCCATCAAGGCTCCCATCTCCGCCCTTGGAGGTTCTCTTCTGTAAGGGCAATTACTTGTAATTGTTAATAAATATTTTGGAGGAGCTGGGCTCAGTGGCAAAGAGGATTCTAAGGAATATAGGAATGGTAGATTTAAGGAGAAGCCACTACCCCAGGTCTGAGCTACAGCCCTGACAGAAGAGAACCTCCAAGGGCAGAGATGGGAGCCTTGATGGAAAGGATGTGTGTATCTCACTGAGTGGCAGCAAAGTCACTGTGATGCCACACTGAAGGACCCTTCTGGAAACTCTACCTATAGAACTTACTGAAAATCAGCTGTGGTTGGTTTGTGCCAGATCACAAAATTTGCCGAAATCAACCTCTTTTTTTGCGGGGGGGGGGAGTCAGGGTGTCACTCTGTCGCCCAGGCTGGAGCATAGTGAAATGGTCACGGCTCACCGCAGCCTCCAACTCCTGGGCTCAAGTGATTCTCCCACCTCAACTTCCTAAGTAGCTGGGACTACAGGCACATGCCTCCGTTCTTGGCTAATTTAAAAAAATTTTTTTTAGCCATGACATCTCATTATGTTGCCTAGGTTTGTCTGGAATTCCTGGCCTCAAGTAATCCTCCCACCTGGACCTCCCAAAGTGCTAGGACTACAGGCATGAGCCACTACACCCCGCTGAAATCAACCTTCTAAGGAGTCAGGGAAAGCTGTTTACAGGGAGGTGAATCACCAGAGGCTCCTCTCTAAAAATAATGCCTGAGGAGAGTGTTGGAAGAAGTTTTTAGCTGCTGGCAATGCAGTAGTAGGATGATGCGGGATAAGCCAGCTATGCTGCAGAAGCCTATCTAGCAATCGCACCAGAGCTGGGAAGGAAAACCCCTTCTGTGGAGGAAAAGTATTTAAAGGACCCAAATCCATTTTCTCAGAGCAGGCAATGAAGAATAAGTTTGAAGCTCAGAGTCAGTAAACTGATAACTGGCACCCTGTGTGTATCTTTTCGCATCCTTTGACTTTTATTTAAACAGCTTTATTTAGGCAAATTCAAATGTCATACAATTTATCCTTTTAGATGGGTAAATACACGTTAAATGTGTGTAAATGGTTTTGGTTTATGGCATTATTGATTTTGTTAGTTTGTTTGTTTTGAGTTGGAGACTCGCTTTTGTTGCCCAGGCTGGAGTGCAGTGGCATTTATTGTAGAGATGAGATCTCACAAAGTTGCCCAGTCTGGTGTTGAACCTGTAGACTCAGGAATCCTCTCACCTCGACTTCCTAAAGTGCTGGGATTACAGGCTGAGCCACTGCGCATG